GAAGAAGTGCCCTCCCTCCAGTCCGTCTGCTTTGGTCCAGGCTTTAGAGGGAGAGAAGATCTGCTGGACTTATTCCCCTTCCCCATTACCATTCTCTTCTCCTTTTGTGTCTTGTCTTTTTAGATTGTAAGCCAGAAGGCAGGGAACTGTCTAATTAATCCATTTGTAAGCTGCTTTGATAGCCTTTTGGCTGAAGAGCGGGGTATAAAGACATAACCATAACAACAACAACAACAACCAATGTAGTTCTAGGCTGAATCAATAGGAGTATAGTATCTGCACTGAGGGCAGTAATAGTCCACACGGGGATGTTGTGGCTTAGTGGTTAAGACGCCAATTATGATGATCGGAAGGTTGGCAGTTCAAAACCTGATTGCTGCATGATGGGGTGAGCTCCTATCACTAGCTCCAGCTTCTTCTAACCTAGCAATTCAAAAGCATGCAAATGCAAGTAGTTAAATAGGTATCACTTTAGTGGGAAGGTAACAGTGTTTGGTGGAGTCATGCTGGCCAAATGACCACCAGAGCAGTCCTTGGATAACGCTGGCTCTTCGGCTTAGTAACGGAGATGAGCACAACCCCTATAGTTGGTTACGACTAGACAGTTACATTAAGGGGAAACCTTTACCTTTAATAGTCCACGCATTTTACACGTTTGAAAGGGTGTCATATTGAAGATGGAGCAAGCTTGATTTCTGATGCTCCAGAGACTAGGATCCAGAGCAATGGATTCAAACTACAGGAAAAGACATTCCTCCTATACATTAAGAAAAACTTGCTGACAGAGCTGTTAAACAGTGGAACACGATGTGGGGAGGTCTCCTTCTCTGGAAATTTTTAAACACAGGCTGGATGGCCATCTGTTGCAAGTGCTTTGACTGTGTATTCCACAGGGCATAGGGGTTGACTGAATGGCCTTTGTGAGCTCTTCCAAGTTTTATTATTCTGTGCTGCACTGCATTTTATCATTAAATTGTTGTTAGTTACTTCGAGTACAGTTGTTCAGAAAAGTGGTTTATAAATATATCTGAAATGATCATGAATGTGCATTTTTAATCAGTTCTCAGTGTACTTTTGTACTGCTTTCAGATCATAAAATGCTTTATGCATAATTTGGCACATTAAAATTTAAGGAAGGGTCCAATTTTTAACTTTACATTTCTAACCTTTAAGAAAAATATCCAGCCCTAGAGAGATGGACAGTATGTAACAGATGATGGTGATGATGATGCCACTTTGGAAAGCCTTATTATTTTGCTCTAGCTGGGTGTTAGCTTGTCTTCCAGACTCTACTTTGTCCCCAGCCTGTTGGACCCAACTTGCTAAAGTGCACCTCTCAACAAAGAACAAAACCAAACATGGCCATCTATAGACAGCAAAAATCCACATCACCATACATTGATTCTTCTTCACCACTCCACAGCCCACCAAACGATTGAGCCCCATGTTAATTAGATACTTGCAGGCATGGTCTGCATAATCAGATCCTCCCAAGCTACTGATGCTAATTTGAATTTTCCTCTCTGGGAGCTGCCTATCCTTCATAGAAATACTTTTTGATCTTTGAGATATTCCTATATTTTTGCATGGCTAGCAAAGACTGACTAATACATGTCACAGAATCCCAAGTAACTATAGGCTGCAGGTGAATGATTCTAAAAAACTTGGCTAAGTTCCTCAGAGTAAAGTTTAGCTAGGTTGTTTCAATTCATTTTATTGTAAAAGCAACTGACTCTATGTGAACCTTCTCTTGGTTCTTTAATAAAGAGACTGAATTAGAAACTAGAGCTCTTTTAGTCTGAAGACAATGGTGACACTTATGAATTGGACTACTTGGTAAACAATGTGAGAGGTGAACAGTGAAGAAAGCTGACAGAAAGAAAATAAAGTCATTTGAGATGTGGTGCTGGAAAAGAGTGCTGAGGATACCATGGAGAGCCAAAAAGACAAACAAATAGGTCCTTGAACAGATCAATCCTGACCTCTCCCTGGATGCCAAGATGATGCAACTGAAGATGTTATGCTATGGTCACAGCATAAGACGCAACTTACTAGAAAAGACAATAATGCTAGGAAAGGTTGAAGTCAGTAGAAAGAGAGGAAGACCGCATGCTGAATCTACAAGACCTAAGCAGAGCAGTTGAGGACAAGGAGGTTTGGAGATGTCTCATCCCTAGGGTCACCATGAATTGAGATCAACTCAAGGGCACCTAACACCACCAACAAACAAAAATACTAAATAAAACTACATTTCCTGGTGCTTTCAGCATTGGCTTACTGAACTACTGCTAGACAGGGAAACTAGTTAGGTTTGCATGAGTGGTTTGTTAAATGCTGGATTGTTGTTGTATTTGAATCATTACCATAAACTTGCTAGTAGTTTGTTAGCCCATAATCAACCACTGCTAAAAGACACGTTCATTGCTCATTTATTAATTGTGGCTTGTTTACACTACAGCTTATTATGTCTGAACCTAGAACTGTAATATGTCCCTGGCTTGTTTCCCAATTGTCCACAGCAGCTTACAAAATATGCGCGAGAGAAACAGACTAGAAATTGGGAAAATAAAGCATGCTTTGTTTCTCCAGCTGACTGACAATTCACGGCTAAAACAACAAACCGTGTATAACATAAACCATAGCTTAGTATGCTATACAATGTGGCTACATCAATTAGGACAGATATGAGGCAGGCTGAGCTGCCAATGAGAGCAGAGTATATCCATGGTTGAATGGGCCTAGAATACATATTGCATTCCTTAGTATTTATGTCACATTACAAAGCATTGAAAACACTTTTACACTGTCTGAGGAATCCTTACACCAATCCAGAAGAGTAAGCCAAAGTTATTCTGAAATTGCAGATGGACAAGAGTCCACCCCTAACCATTTTATACAGTCTTTTTATGCAGGAAACATTTTGTGTAGAAAATATTGTGCAGCTGTCAAAAGACAATTGCACATATGTATACAGACAGGGTAGAAGTGCTAGGGAGCCAGTGTGGCACAGTGGTTTGGCCATAGGCTTAGGACTCTGGAGAATGGGGTTTGATTCCCCCCACGGCCATGGAAATCCACCAGGTCATTGGGCTAGTCACACCCTCTCAGCCCTAGAAAGCCCCATGATAGGTCCACCTTAGAGTCACCATAAGTCGGAAACAACTTTAAGGCAAACAGCAAGGAAAAGTGCTAGGGACATTTTTGCTGGAGCAAACTTAAATACATAGTGTTTGATCAACACAAATAACCATCTATGGTAGGAATATGGAATGTGTGGCCCTCCAACTCCCATCATCTCCTTGACTGTGCAGGCTAGGGTTTGTTGCAGTAGCACTCCAACATCTACAAGGTCTAACCCAAATTTAAAGCACTACACAAAAGTGCTGCATTTATAAACACAATGCCTATGTGTGAGCTGGTATTCAGCAACCACACTGTCCAGAAATAGTTGTAAAGTACGCTGTGAAAAATGGTGTGGCACTACAGTCTTACCCAGGTATCAGCGAGGATTCTGTTCTGGACACCCCACCCCCACCCTGCATAGATACTGAAAAACATGGGACCTCAAGTCCCATTCTCCCTATTGGCAGCACAAGGCTTGATGTCTGTGGATGCCTAAATCCACAGGTGGCAAGTTCGCAAGAAAGGTGATCCCACTATACTTATCTTTAAAAGGAGGCCAGAAGGGGCCTTTATGAAATCTGAGACCCCTCCAAACTTTTTGATGACCAAGAATTTACTGTTTCTGTTCTTCAGATAGAGAGCCAGGGTGGTGTAGTGGGCTATAACTCTGGAGAACAAGGTTCAAATCCTTGCTTAGCTATGGAAGTCACACCCTCTCAGCCTTAGATGAAGAAGGCAAAAGTTGCAAACCCTCTGAACAAATCTTACCAAGAAAACCCTGTGACACCACCTTAGGCTTGCTGTAAATCAGAAATGACTTGAAACCAAACAACAACTTTCCAGTTATGCAAAGCAGTACAGTTTCAGCCACAGCAACCAAACTCCATTGAGCCACCAGCAAATGGGATTCTTACGCTGGTGGAAATTGTTCATGTAGAATATTTTTTTTATAATTACACTTAAGCCTGAGCTGTCATAACTTTTTTGGGTGGGTTCTCAACAAAAAGTGTATTCTCTTAGAAGTAAACTCTTAAATAAGGCTTTGATGATTAAAAAAATTGAGAACCAGTGTGGTGTAGTGATTTGAGCATTGGACTATGACTTTGGAGACCAGGATTCAAATTCCCACTCAGCCACAGAAACAAACTGGCTGACCTTGGGCAATTTACACTCTCTCAGCCTCAGAGGGTGGCAATGGCAAACCCCCTGTGAAGAAACTTGCCAAGAAAATCATATGATTTTATGGTTGCTATTAAGTCCAAAACAACTTCGAGGCACACAACAACAACAAATACGGCATCTCCATTGGGAGCCACTTGATGGCCCTGTGTAGTAACAGCTGCCATGACCATCTGAACCTATTACCACATCTTCTGAGGGGCAAAGTCAAAGTGCCTGAAACAGAGGTGTCACAAGGGGAGTATAGGGGCGCAGGCCACACCAGGTGACACCCTAATGGTGGGTGAGACCACTGCAGCCCAAACATCTGTCTTTTGGCAGAAACAGACTGTGGCATTGGACTGTGTCCCTTTAAAACGCTGAAGAGACAATGTAAGAGGGGTGAGGCTCAGTGGGAGGAGCAAGGAGGGGCTCTGGGTTTTTTTTTAAAAAAAGATTTAAAAATAATTTGTATTTAATAATTATTTTTAAAAAATATTTTTAATTTTTTAAAATAAACACCCCATCTTACCAAATTTTCACTGTAGCTGTATGAAACTATGTACACCTAAATACACATAGGCAATGCGTATGGTATTGCAAATTAAAGGTATAATTTTAATTTTGCTAATTGTTTTATGTCACAGCTATTACCATTACATTCAGTGTGGTATATGGGAATTATGATTTATGAGTAATATTAGTACAAAATGTTGAGAGCCAGCATGGCGTAGTGGTCTGAGATTTGGACTGGGATTCTAGAGTCCGGGGTTCGATTCCCAGTTTGGCCACGGAAATTCACTGGGTGACCTTGGTCAAGTCACTCTCTCTCAGCCTCAGATGAAGGCAATGGCAAGCCTCCTCTGAACAAGTCTTGCCAAGTAAATCCTGTGACAGGTTCACTTTAGGATTGACATGTTGAAGACAGAAGTGGAGTAATGGTATAGTGTTATGATTCTGAATTAATAGGGGAAAAAAGATATGTAATTTGGTGATCAAGCTTTACAAATATTGAGAAGATGATGATCAATACAAACATGTAAGAATTCATAGAAGAAAACAGCACAGAAAAACAGAACAAATACGGTAACAACGAAATAGTCTTAAACTAAAAAGAACAGAGAAAATACCAAGACTGAGGGGACAGAAGTAGCAAATTATGAAGGGCTGATTTGCTAGTTAGAATGTTATTTGTTTGTTACATACTTGTACTGGATGTATGAGAAAGAATATTTGTATGGTTGTTATAAATCAGGGGTAGGCAACCTAAGCCCTGTTGACCATAAGAGTGGATCTGTTACTAAGCCAAAGAGCCAGCATTGTCAGAGGCTACTCTGTGATCATGAGGCCAGCATGATCACACAGAACACTGTTTACCTTCCCACCGAAGTGGTCCCTATTTATCTACTTGCATTTGCATGCTTTCGAACTGCTAGGTTGGCAGAAGCTGGGATCATGCAGCACTTGGGCCTCGAACTGCCAATCTTGCAATCAACAGTCAGGATCTTAACCACTTGAACCACGCGTCATATTTATTTGATTTGCTTTTTTTTAAAAAAAAAAGCTTTTCTTTAGTCATGTCTGGCCACTCTTTCATGAAACCCCCTAGGTGTTGGTGACCTTGGAGGGGAGGAGGAGGAAGAGGAGGAGGGGAGAGTCACACTCTCTCAGCCTCCTCAGACTCAAATCCTTGACAAGACTGCGAGTGTGAAAGAGTCACACTCGTCTCTGCCAGCTTCTTCAGAGCCAAGAAAACCCCGTGAGAGCTTCTCCTGAGGAAACACACAGGAAAGAGAGCGAGAGCGAGGAACCTTGTCGTCGTCGTCGTCGTCGTCCCTGCGAGGAGAAGAGCGAGGATGAACTGTTTGGTTCTTTTACCTGCGGCGAAGTGGAGGGGGCTGGACTTCCGGCCGGCCGTGTCCCTGCCGTTGACGTTCTCGGTTCTCACGAGCCGCTTCACGCGCTCCACGTCGCCGTTGCGGCAGGCCTCGAAGAGCTCGCGCGCCGGCTCCGCTGAGGAGGAGGAGGAAGAGGCGCAGCAAGACGACGACGACGAGAGCAGCGCCTCCCCAAAGGGAACAACCGACGACGACGACGATGCCCCACCCGCGCCCCTCCGCCCGGCCATCCCACCGCCACCTCCCTCAGTCCCCCTCACATCCCTCCGCCCGCCATTTTGGACCCCAAGGCGCTCCTGGCTGAGGAGGAGGAGGAGACGGAGACGACGGACGACACCACACCGTCCGCCGTGAGGGCCTCAGCGGCCCCGGAGGGAGGGGAAACGGAACAGCCAGGCTGCGCAGGCGCATATAGGGAGAGGAAGGGAGAGGGGATTTTAGGGTGCTCCCGGCGCATGCGCGGCCCTCGCCTGACTTCTTGGGCTCAAAATGGACGGCGGTTGGAAGAGGAAGGGTTTGGAGTGTGAGCCTCAATGGTGTTTCTCCTCCTCCTCCTCCTCCTTCTCCTTCTTTCTTCTTCGCCAAAACACACACTGCAGAAATAATCAACATGCAGGGGTAGCTGTGTTGGCCATTTAGCAAATTCAAACAAAAACTCACCAGACAGTGATATCTTTATTGGCCAACCAAAATGCACAATATACTTGTTTCAAGCATTTGAAGCTCCACTGGCTTCTTCATCAGGCAAGATGTTGTTACAAACCAAAACAGGAGAAAAACAATTAATAATAATACTAATAATATTTATTTATATCCCGTCCCTCTGCAGAGCAATCGGGGCGGCTTACAACATTAAAATTTCTATACAGATATATTAATACAATCTAAACTGAACAGATAGGCCAGCCTGCAAAAGATACTCTCCACTTGCCATCTTAATTAAGGACAGAAAGATCAAAATGCAGGCATCTGACTAACATCTCCAATTGTTTTTCTCCTGTTTGGTTTGTAAAATCTTTCCTGATGAAGAAGCCTGTGGAGCTTTCGAAAGCTTGCAACAAGTACACTCGCCCCTCCATTTTTTGTGGTCATAATTATTCACGGAGGGACAAGCTCCGTAAAATTAAATGGCACGTGTGCCCGAGCGTGCGATCATTCAAGCCAATTTTAATTTTAGACTGATTTTAGTAAATTGACTGTATTTTATGATGTTTTCTGTTTTAATCGGGGGTCAGGGAATTATATTTAATTAATGTCATTGTGATATTTTATTATTATTGTTCGCCTCAATCCTTTGGGGAGAGGTGGGCTATAAATAAAATTATTATAATTATTAATGAGGCTTGATTATTAGCGAATACTCGTTTTTGCGGGTGTGTGTGTCTAGAATGGATCCACTGTGAAAACAGAGGGGCTACTATATATTGTGCATTTTGGTTGTCCAATAAAGGTATCACTATTTGGTGGATTTTTGTTTGAACAGCTGAAATAACGATCCGCTTTGAGACTGCTTTAACTGCGCTGGCTCAGTGCTAGGGAATCTTATGAATTGTAGTTTGTTGTGGCACCAGAGCGCTTTCTGACAGAGAAGGCTAAATGTCTCACAAACACTACAATTCCCAGGTTTCCCTAGCATTGAGCCAGGGAAGTTTAAAGCAGTCTCAAAGTGGATTGTTATTTCTGCAGTGTGTTTTGGACCTCCGGGTCTGTGACTGGGACCAGTGTGGGAACTGCCAGAGTGAAAATTGGGGAGGGTGCTTAATTCGGGGTGACCAGATGCATCCTCCTTTTCCAGGACACATCCTCCATTTCAGCCTTCTGTCTAGGAGGAATTCCAAAATGTCTTCCATTTTGAGCAGGACTAAGGAATTTGCATTTAGATTAGGGTTTTTAACTTTCTGTTTAGTCACTTTCTCCATTTTTCTTGACTGCCTTTTGCAGTGCCTTGTCCTCCTTTGTGATGAGGACACGTCTTGTCTTTGCTTTCATCTAAGGTTGAGAGAGTGTCATTTGTCCAAGGTCAAGCAGTGGGTTTTTGTGGCCAAGAGGGAATTCATACCATCTCCAGAGTTGTAGTCCAACACTCAATCACTACACCACGCTGGATTGCCAGAGCAAAAACTGGAAAAGCTCACACTCAATCACTACACCACGCTGGATTGCCAGAGCAAAAACTGGAAAAGCTCTTGTTCTGCTTCTGCCAACCTAGCAGTTGGAAAGCATGCAAATGCAAGTAGATAAATAGGTACCACTTCGGTGGGAAGGTAAACAGCGTTCTGTGCAATCATGCTGGCCACAGGATCACAGAGTAAGCTCTGACAACGCTGGCTCTTTGGATTAGTAATGGAGATGAGCACACACACACACACCCACATTTGGTTATAACTAGACATTCTAACTAGACATTCATGTCAAGGGACTACCTTTACCTTTTAGAAGAGGGCATTACAGCAGTGCTGGTTGTTATTTGGTTGCTCTCCTCTTGCTATGTCTTCAAGTCTTTTTTGGTGACCTCGAAGCAAACCTGGGGTTTTCTTGGCAAAATTTATGGCCTGGGGTTTTCTTGGCAAGAGGAGGGGGGGTCACCGTTGTCTTCCTCTGAGGCTGAGAAAGTGTGTCTTGCCCAACATTGTCCAGAGAGTAATAATGGCGGCGCTGTTTTGCGTTCCAAAATGGCACCCACCGTTGGTGTGCGTGCGCGGCAGCGACAATGATGACAGGACCGATCACGGGCTGGTTACAAGGCCTCGACGGATTGGGTTTGGCCCGCGGGCCATAGTTTGCCGACTGCTGCTTGGACTGCCTGCTGTTGCATTTTGGGTTTTGTAGTTCAGTGAGGCTTAAAGGCTCTCTGGCTGAATATTCTAAATGCCTCTTCTTAAACTACAAGTTCTAGAATGCAACAGGAGGCAGCCAGAGCGGTTAAAGCAACCTAGCCCTGTTTTAAGAGTGTATAGTCTCATTGGTGTAGCCTCCATCAGAGCAGACGTGTAAGTTTCTCCCTGAAGACTATAAATAATGTGCCACCTGTTCCCTTTTGCAAAGAGAACTATACACAGAACTGTTCTCTGTCTGAAGAGCTGCCTCACTACATTCCTCTTTTTGAAGGCGCCTTCTATAATTCAAGCCCATTTCAAAGGAAATACAAGTTAAGTTTTTCTTATTTGAAATTTGAAAATTCAAAATACTCCAAAATTGTCCACATGGGTACCTGAGATGTTAATCAAGAAGCAATTCTCACTGAAATCAGTCTAAGACGATCCTAAGCTCAGTAGCAATAAGCAACCCTCCCCCCAAGTTCACTGTATATAAATATGTTTTAAGTTATTTTTTGTTAATTAGTTAAACATTTTATCCCACCTTTCCAATACTGAGCTCAAGACAATGTACATGGCTCACATTAGGCTCACTTTACTCTAATAACAACAATCCTGTGAAGTAGGCCTTGGTGAAAAAGAGTGACTCTTCCAAGGAGAACCCTGTGAGGTTTCATATTTTAATGGGGATTTGAACTTTGTCTTCCAAGTCCCTGTACAACCCTGACCATTACAGGACAATGACTCCCATAGGCATATTGTGAATATCTCAGTAGATGGTAGAGTAGAGAAATTTGGGTTAAGTAAATGTCCAGTCTTGGGTTGGATATATAAGCAAAGGGAGTTTGGAAGCTGGTTTGGTGCTGAAGCCACAAGGTTCATATTTAATAACTGTAATAATAATAATAATAATAATTTATTTCTTATATCCCTCCTTTTGCCTAAGCAATCAAGGCAGCTTACAAATATAAGATAGAGATTAAAAACATACATTACAATAAACATAATAAGATTAAAACAACCCGCATTCTGCCTTCTCTCCCTCCTGATGATGGTGGATGGAGGGAGGGCCTTTA